ATATTGATAAACCTCCCATTCCCTCTCCCACTTCGCTCCCACTTACCGAGAATGCTTTGAGAAATACCAAACACTGTATGATGCCCTCCATGGTGTCGCCGGTTAGGCAGAAGGTGCCCGTTAGGTGGCGTCCCTTGCGGCCCACTGTCGCCGCCGCCAGCGAGGCATGGACCAGCGCCCTCTGTTGCCCGCCGCCGGCGGCTAGGGCTGTTGCACCACCGCCCACACTGACCATGCCCTTGCCAGCGGCGGCGGCTGCGGCGGCAGCTGCTGTGGCCACAACGCCACTGGTAAGCATTCGTGGCAATGGGGCCGCTCGCATCAGACGCTCCAGCGAGTCCATGGCGGCAGTTTTTGGAACACTGTTTATCGTTTATCGGTAGAATCGTTGATTTTGTTTTTCCTTTTCTGTTTTTTCTTTTGGTATTTAAATTTTTTTGAATTTCTTGTTGTTTTGTTATGTTTTGTCGTTTAATTGCACTCAAGTTGTTTGGTTTTTCTTGTCGTGTTTATTGTATTTCTTAGTCTGTAGTCAGCAGCGCACATTTTACTCAACTGCAAGTTAATTTGGTTTAACATTGATTTTGAGATTGTTCAAGAAAAACAAGATCCCACAAAAACCAAAATCACAAAAACCAATCACACAAAAACTTTGCAATTTTATTTGCCAACGAGTAAATAATAACAAACTAGTTTAAACAAGAAAAAAAATTAAATCGGAGGAGGAGAGAATAACATGGTTATCGGTCAACGGCAGGCGAAGAACTGGAAGCTGCAGCAAAACAAGTGACCCACAAGTCACAACTACATTCCATATAAAATTTATAGCCAAGACGGAATAGGGGGAACAGAAAAATAAAGCCAGAGACAGAGAGAGAGAGAGGAGAGGGAGAGGGAGAGAAAGAAAGCATCCGGGGTTCTATGGGGACTATCAACAACCAGCAGAAAGTAGGCAACGAAAACACCATCACGAAATGAACAGAATGGGACAAGTAGAAATGAACTGCGAAATGCAAAATGTCATTGTGATGACTTTGTGGGAAGCATTTGGGCACTTTGTATACCGAAATATACGAGCATATTCCAAGAAGGCAACATGACAGTCATGTGGAGCATCAGTCACGCCCACAACTGCCATATTAGATCCACAAGCCCATGCCACCCCACCGACCCCTCGAACTTTTGACCGCTGACTGGGGACTAATAAAATTCAAGTTAAATGGTTGTTAAAAATTTATAGCAGACGCCTCGGCTTCCGTGTGCCATTTCGAAGGCATTGAGAAAATAGCAACAGCAAGGCGAACATTTTTTTTTTTTTTTTTTTGGTGGGGGGGGGGGATGGAGGTCAGAAGGCAGAGGGTCGCAGAGACGTAGTCAAAAAAAAAGTTGACAGGGGGTCTTGCCGCATTTTCCAGGCGAGCCACAAAATTTTCAGGCACGCTGTTCGCCGACATCTAAGGTAGTTACCAATAAAAATCTAGATTTATGGCATCCATTTTAATGTAACCCAATGGCTTTCCGTTATATGTGTAGAACCATAGGTTTAACATTCAATTGCATTCAGTTTTCCAGTGCGCGAATAGTCGCTTTAATTAATTAACTTCTTCGTGGCTTTACAGTATAACTGTAATATTAATGATATTACAGTATTTGTATTATCGAACAAATAATATTTCCTTGAACCCAAGAAAATCAAGTGGAAACATTTGTCGCCCGAGAAAAGGCCTCATATGTGTGAGTTTTTCGCTTCGCTTCGCTTCTTTATATTTGATATTTTTTTGTTTTGTTTTACATTTCTGGCGGCAGTTACAGTTGAAGAAAAATAAGCATACAGCTGCCTGACAGTCGGACAGCAGTCTTGGGGCTCTGGTTCCTCTGACTTTGGCCATAGCTTCTCCTATAGCTTTTCCTACAGCTCTGGCTTTGGCTTTGGCTTTGCCAGCCGTCATCCGTTGACTCTTCCGCTTCCATGGGTCCTGGGCGCTGGGAGCGTAATTTATCTGCTGGCGGAGCAGTTGTAAAAAGGGGGAATTCCGCCTGTCAACAGGAGTCCTACGTTTCGAGTCCTCTTTGGCCCTGGGTAAAATTTATGCAAACCGACGTATGGCCAACAGGATGAGCGAGTGGGGCCTGAGATATATGTATGTGTAGGTTAGGTTCCCATCCAACAAAGAGGGGTGCTCAGAGAAAAAGGGAGAGGGTGAGAGAGAGGGGGATGGGGGATGGGGGATAGAGGGAGTGGGGGTATACCCAGTGTATTAACTGCAGCTAAATCAAACTTTTGAGCCCAGTTATGAATTATTTGCCATTGTGCAGCAGGCGAAACATTCCTTTGTCACTGACTTTGTCCCTTTTTGGCAGGAAGCCGGATGGCTTTCCTTTCACCCCTCCACTTGCTCCATTTGCCACCCAGGAAAGGAAACTGCGATCCACCTGCCGAGTCATCCGAACCCCCAAGTCAATTTGAACAACATTTTGCCGCAGCTCTGGTTATACAAACAAGATTTCACATTCCGCTTCTTGGCTCCCGTTTTCTTCGAAAGGTTTCCCTAGCTTTTTCTGCCTTTCTTATTTTTCTGCCTAGCTGTGATGATTTGCCATTTGGGGCAGGATCGTTCTAGCGGCACGTAAATTGAATGGCCGGAGCCAAAAGGTTCCAGAACCTGAAGCAAACACACACAAAAATAAAAGTCTGGCAAAAATTAAGTGAAAATAATAAACCTTTCGCACACACACACAGTGGAAAAAGCCAAATGGTAAAGGAAAAGCAAAAGGGCATTACACACACGTTGACCAACGGATGTCCTGCTGCCTGATGGCATTACAGTTAATTAAAGGTGAACCGATTGCCACAGAGTCCTGCCATGCTGCACAGTGGGTTCAAGAGTCCAGTAAATTTACTTTAATTTCAATATATTCTGTACCGCAGAGTCGTTATTTGTACAGCCATTTCATACATACATATATCGTGGAAGATTTTGCGGATATTGATGTGTACCGATGGCTACAAACAGATTTTGGACTGTGATCGATGTTTATATATCTTGCAGCTGCTGCAATAAAACGACCTTTAAAGCTGGTTGTGGATAAAGAGTGATTTTATGCGAAGGAATCATTTTCAACTTATCCCATGGTGACTGTGCGCATGTGAGAGGTCCACTAGTGTGTATTTAAAAATTGTGCTGCTGCTGCTGCTGTGTGTGTGTGTGTGTGTGTAGGGGGGGAGACATGGCAAACTGGAAACTTTGCAAATGAATGGCAAGGCATTGGAAATAATGAGCCGTATTTACATTTCAAAGCGCTCGCACAGGCAAGAGCTGTAAAAGTTTTTAGCCTCCCCAACGGACTACGGGTCAAAATCAGTTACGGAACTCTGAAATGGAGAAGGATTGCGAGAAAATAGGAATAAGCCCATGAAGGCTGTAGTAGTACTCGTAGTAGTATTAGTGGTAGTTGTAGCATTACATACACACCCACCCACACACACAAACGCACAGATGGAGCCTGGTAAATCTCCTCCAGAGTTGTGGGGAGTAAATTGCGAAAGCTTTCGGTGGCAGGATTGCATACAATTTGTTTTATGGCCATGGCGTGCGCATTAAACGCGCACTTAATCACACGCAATGGGCGTGGTCGTCCGCCCACCGTCGTCGTCTATGGCGACAAATCAAATTGATTTCGCTTGTGCTGGCTCGCCCGCTACCCTTACCCAATTTTTTCTCCCTGTTTGCCCCTTTTGCTCCTTTTGTTGTATTACTTTGCGCCTTATTAAATCACTTTTATTGCCATTGAAATGTGAGAAAAGTCTGGCGGAGGCGATGCTGCCATATGTATGTACATAATATGATTTTTAGCTGCCCACCAAAAAATAATTCATATTTATGGCAAAAACTTATCGCTCAGCTCGATGTGGTAAACATCGGTTTATTGATGTCTGCCAAAGAGGAGTATACTATATTTCGGCTGGAATCCACTGGCGATGTGGTCAGAGGTGGTCGCAGTTGGTTGTCCATAGTGAAGCAACCATTTGACCCATCGGCATCTCGAGTATTGAGTATCGAGTTGCGGAGTAGATGTCTCTCTGTGCGCCCGACAACAACCGCCACACAAATAGACAAGACAAACACTACGCACTGGATATTGAGTTAATTGTTGGTTTCGGGTTCTGTCTCAGCATTCGTCATACGACTCTTTCGACCATGATTGAACTTGAATTTCGTCAGTATCGAGTGGACAAAAGACTCTGTTATTTAAGTTGTGTGCCAAAATTTAGCAGAACTTGAACCAAAAAAATCATTTTCAATCAGTTTGGGCAAGGGGCTGCTTAAAACCCAGCATGTTGAACCCCCATTATCCTTTTTCCACCAGCCGAATCTACAGGCAACAGCAAGGTTTTCACAAAAAAATTTAAAAAAATTAAAAAAAAAACCACCGACCCCTATATTCAGGCACAGCGTTTCAGCGAGGCGTGTAATTAAATTTTCATGCCCCTACCTGGGGTTGAATTTTGAAGGGAGTGGAGGCGGTGGGGCAGGCAGAATGTGGGAGTGGCACATACAAAGAATGCAAATTCTCGGGGCTATTTCAAAATGCAAGCATCAACGCCTTCGAATGCAGCCAAAGCAGGCGGAAGTAAATGCAGTAGCATTTACCTTTTTTCTCCAACTAGTTTTCCATATTTCCACTCCCCACACTGGCATATCTCCCTTCAATTTCCCTCTAGTTTTTCCTTCTCACCTGCCCCACTCGACAAAAACGACACTCAAGTGGTCAGGTGCTAACAAGTAGGTGCAGCGTACATGAGCATTTTTAATTTTGGGCTACTTAACTGTATGTTAAACCTGAATTATTAAAGGAACCCTATGATTATTTAATACACAAGAGGATTCGAAATGGACATGTGCTCCCACATGCCCAACAAATACCCTGTAATACAGCTATTCCCAGCATGCTTTGAACGCATGCCGATTTAACCTGCCAGATTCGATTGGATAAACAAACGATACAAACGAAACAAGCAAACAAGACAACAGCCTTCGAGCAATAACACAAACAGACGACAACAACTGAACAAAGGAACAAACCCAACCAAACAGCTAAGGGAGAAATTTGCTATTGCAATTTTCCCCCTCCCCGCGGCCATTCAATAATTTCAAACTCGATATACATACATAGAATTCTATTCAAGATGCCGATGGTGATGTCATGTCGTTCGCGAGCTGCTATGAAACTGCATGCGGACTGCTATGATCGACTTAAGAAACCTATTCATCTGGACACGCCAACAATATCAGCGGTCGATGAGAAGCCGACGTGTGGGGTACGCAGAGATAGGCCCGTAAAGCCCAAGGTTCCGAGGCGACCATTGCCTCCTGGCACTAGGCTGCCCAATCCACAAAATATACCTGGACAGCCGGTACGTTCGACGGTGGGTGGCGGAAAAGCGCCACCCCGAGCCCGCAGATACGACGGAGCCAAGGCCACGTTCTTTCACATCAAGGGCCAATCGTGGGAGTCCAAGGGCTATGCGGAGCTCTCGCAAGGCGAACTGGATCGCATGAGGGCCTCGAGGCCGCGGACCACCGAGGAGCGTCGGGCGGAACAGGATCGCCGGATGGAGGAGCAGCAATATCATACGGCCGAAGCGGAACGTATGCGCAATTATTTCCATGACATCGACGAGCAGCGCAGGGAAAGGGAACGCGAAACCCAGAAGAGAGACGATGACGAGGCCGATGAGGATGTGAATGAGGAGCGGCGAGTGGAGGCCAAAAGATTGCAGGTACTGTAGCTGGTGCGATAAAACCGTCAAATATGTTGGTAAACGATATGTTCGACGGTATATCGCAGAGTACAACATGTTATTCCATAAACAATACATTACAATCGCTCAACCCCCACATTTTAGGTTCTTCATCGCGCCTTGGATGCCAAATATGAGACAGATGTGCGAGTGAAAGACGCCACGCGTGCGATATCCGAGGCCAAATGCAGTGCCATGTGGACGGCTCAGATTCAGGAAAGAAAACTCCTCAATCGCATCCAGCTCGATCACGATGAGGAGATGGCCCTCAAGAATCGGGACTACAACAATGCCAAATGGGGTACGGTCGAGCAGCATGATCAGGCCGAAGAGGAAAGACGCCGGCAATTTGGTAACGCTGTGCGTGAGCAAATTAGTGACCGCGAAAAGTTGCGTTTCCTTGCCCAAGATCGTCTGCGAATGGAGGCGAAAGACTTGCGTGCCGCCATCGATGAGTATAAAAAGGCTGAATTGGCAGAAGGAGAAATGCGATCACGCCGCAAGTTGGCCTACAGAGATGAGCTCAATAAGTACACCAATTTGCATCGCAATTTCGTACGGATGATGTGTGAGCAGGATCAAAGGGATGAGAACAGAGCCTTCGAGTATCTCAAGCTCAAGGAGCAGCAATTGAAACAACAGAGGGCGGAACGTGAGGCCATCGCGGCGGATGAGAAACGCAAACGGGATGTCCTGTTTGCGGTGGGCCAAAAGATTCTCGATGCCAAGGATAATCGCGAGGAGATGCATTTCCTCGCAGAGCACGAACGCCTCGAAAGGAAGTACAGAGAAAACGAACGTAAGGCAGCCGAAAAGGAGCGCAAAATGGCTGCCGAACTCAAGCGGGCCAATATGGAGCAAATGGAGCGTCTAAGCCAAATGAAGGCCTGCTATTACGTGCAGCGTGAACGCGAGCTGAAGGAGATGATCGAGTATCGAAAGAAGCACGAGGAGCAAATGAAGCGCGAGGCCGAAGAGCAGGCCATCAAGAAGGCTTGTCTGCGCTCCAGTGTCTCGTGCCAAATTGAGGAGCGGGAAAAGACACGTCGCCGCGAACTGGAGGACGAACATTTGGCCTTTGAAAGGGAGAGGGCAGCCGAGGCGCAGCGACAAAAGGAAATCGATACGGTGATCACAGTCAAGCTGGATGATCTGCAAAAGCGAGGCTGTCTGCCCAATTTGGCGGTGCGATCGCTGAAAGGTCGTGTCGCCAATGCTGACAACAAAAAGAAGCTGGGCGCTGAATTTACATAGATAAATCCATTTGCTAATGCCTCCTATATACACACAGAATCACACGCACACACACACACACACACACAAACTCAAGTTGACAATGGCATAGATGATGACTTTTCAAGCTCGGCGGAATTAAAACTTGCAGCACATATATATGCATATATACCACCCTGTGGTGGAAACTTTTCTGTGTATTCCCCGCATTTTTGTTTGCTGTCAATTCAACAAGTTAAAAGTGCAGACCGCAGACAGAAAGATATATAGACTGGCACTCATTAAGCCGCAGCTGATAGAGCAAACAAAGTTTTTATATCGCTCCGCTCACTCCGCACATGAATTAAATATGCACACACGTTTCGGTATTCTGTGCAACTGAAAGTCAACTTTATCCTGTCGCATTTGCAGCTGCAAAAATAATTAGCCACACAAGTAATAAAAAAAAAGATAAAATGGATTGAAAAGCAGCTGGGCAGAGGTGGAACTCTTTTATTGCAGCGAAATTATAATCGGTGTATAATCTAAGGATTCCGGGTATTTTTGCTGACTATTAAGTTGAGAAATTCCATATTATATTTGAATGTATTTTAATCAACAGATAACGATAAAAACTAAACGAAACAGGCAGCGAAATCGAGTATAAATCACAAAAGAGGCGCCCCAGCCACGCCTTCTCGCACAAAGCTATCAATTCTGTAAAGTCAAAGAACAGAACGCTGAGATTAATTGAGTTGGATAAATTTCGCCGGGCTAATACGTCTTTGGGAATTAACCCACGATAGATGAGTGGGGGTAAAACGCGCACACAGGCAGACACACACAGACACACTAGGATTAGAGTAAATTAAGTTGAGTTTAAGTAGAGAGCATTTGTTTCACTTAAATTTGCTTAAAGCGAAAATTAATTTCACTCGGACGACTATTGATTCGATTTTGTGAATTTTCGCAAGACACTGCGGTCACGAATGGGTTAAGCTGACCATGACTGCATGGCTGTGGGTCATCCATCCTCATAGCGTCGGTCGGCAGCGGGTTAATGATGCAGAAGAATATTGCCCTTGAATGAACCAATACCAAACAAAAAGGCCGAGATGAATGTGTTTCTGGGCTAGCAGAAATGGCTTAAATACTTGCCATGATGCAGCATTTATAGAAAATATTCACACACAGACACACCCACACGCATACTCCCACATGTACCACAGCATACACACAATATAATTGCCAGTTCCTGCCTGTCGAACACAAAACCAAAATCATATCATACTTTTCTGCGCTTTCCGTACAAATATACAGCTATGGGCGTAATAATAACGCTTATTAAAATCACTCAAGAGTCCTAAGCATTCAAGTAAAATTAGAAAAATATATCGACAACTAGCTTCATAAAATACTTCGGACTATAATACTTTTAACACGACTTAATATTCCCATCTTGTGACCTATTATGCTGAACGCATATGTATATTTGTTAAATGTGGAGTACATATACATATATGCACACGCACAAGCACACATACGTAGGCAATTGGAAAGAGGGTAGCTGTGTGTGAGTGTGTGCTTGGTAAAAACAAACAATAGTAAAACTGATTAAGTCGGGGAAAACCACATCAAGCTAAACGATGATGAAGAAAAGACCAAAAGATTACGAACGTTGAACGTTGAACGCTAGGCACAAAAGGGAGAGACAAATGGTTGCAAGGAGGGAAAAGGGGAGTGGCAGTGGAGAAAGAGGAGAAGAAAATAAAGGCATGGAGATGAGGAAGAACATGGGGGGAAAGTTAACTTGATGCGGGCCAAGGATAGACAAACACACATGGTCACTGGAGATGAAAACGAGGTCCAAGGAAATAAAAGAATACAACAAGAAAATTCTACCACATATCGAATAATTGAAAGGATATATGTACATATGTATGTACATATATATACATACATTTATATAGGGCAGATAGGGAGTCTGCTGCGACAATTTGTAAGATATGATAGTAATGTTCTACAGCTTTTCTTCATTTCTTTCCCTGTCTGCCCTTTTTCCCTCCCATTTAATTTTTTTTTTCATTTTTCCTCCCAACAATGACAGCAAAATTAGTCATTGTCCTCGTCTTCAGCTCCCGTAATTTGCATATATGTGAGAGCGTCTGGCTGTGGCTGTGTCTATGTGTTTCGCCAGTCCTGACAATTATGTACAATTTACTTTGCATAACACTCGAAAGCAGAGGTTTAAAAGCCAGGCCAGGAATGAGGAGACCGGGAGGACAGAAACCTGGCTAAAGCCAACTAGTTAGCATATTTGTTGTTCCAGTCCCTCAAGTGGTTAAAACCCAGAGAATTCTCCCAGGGAAAAGCCAACAAAAAAGGGAAAAGAGAACAAAAAAAAAAGAAGAAACTAGGAATTGTAGGGCGAAAAAGCAGAAACTGAAACTAGAAAAATTAAAGCGAAGTTAAACCAACAATCTAAACAAAAGTAAAAAGTTTCGAGAGGACCAACCACATGGAAGGGCCGGAATTTTAAACTGTGCGCCCCTTCTCCTTCTCTCTCAATGAGCAAATACACCAAAATCCGAACCCAAAAACAGGAAATAAAAAAATAAAAACCATATAAAGTAATATATGCAAGAATCTGTATGTTTAAGTAGTTTTGGATGTAACCTTACTAGTACTCTTTGCACACCACACCTGTGCGATTGTGTTGAGTGGCTTCGCCGCTGCAAAAAGTTTGGAATTATTAGAGCCTGTCTTAGCAATGCAGAGAGAGAAAAAAACGGGTGACAAATTGACGGTGGCTTATGTGTGTTAGTGTGTGTGTGTCTGAGCGATAGAGATAGAGAAAGAGGAAGAGAGAGAGAGTGGGGTTGAGTTGAATTTTTGGGTGTTATGTGGTGGACTATGAAGAAAAATTACGTGATTTACGTACAAAAAGGTGGGCGGGTGCAAGTTCTTGTCTTGTTAGGTGAGTGAAAGAAATGTTATTGAGGTACGAAGTTAAAAAAGGGTGCAGATTGGTGAAAAATATGAGCACTTCTTTCAGCAAGTTTGGCTATTAGTATATCATTTTATCGATTACTTGGCGTGGGAGGCAACCTTTTTATCGTGATGTATGCGGAATATAATTAGGTTTAATCAATGTGAGATTAGACTAAAGGTGAACAGTGCAAGCCGAAGACCAAACCAGTCGTGAAGGGTGAGGGGTATAAAGAACAGGTGAGAAACAGTGAATATTGGCAAGTGAGAAAACCAAAAAGGCGAAAAACAATAATGTTCGAGATATGCTGTGCAAAATATTTTTTGAAAAGTTCTCAATAATTTTTTTTTTATCTATTTGTTGTGTCGGTTTTTGCTTCTTGGTTTGGGTTTCCTTTCTTTCTTTTTTTTTTGTTCTTGTGTTTTTTGTTTCTTTTCAGCTGGTTGGCTTATGGTTTTTGACTTTTTGCTAACCTTGTGTGGGGTGTTTCGCTTTGGGCAATTTTGTGATTTTGGTTGCATTTGGTTCGATTGTTGGTGAGCGGAATTTGAAAACTGATTTTGCATTTATTTCGATTTGATTTGGCTTCGATTTTTGATTTGGCGATTTTCGATTCTCGATTTTGATTGATTTTGTATTTTGGTTTCAGTATACATATACATATATTGATCGATTGAAGTGCAATATGGTGAAGGGCTGTACAGGTATGAGAGCTGAGATATCGAATTGAGTTTTGAGTAGTGATCTGATCTGAATCTGAATTAGAACTTTTCCGATATGCTATAGATGCGCTTAACGCTAACGCACTTGCGTCGCAGTCGCTCGCACTCGATTTCCCTGAAGTCTGCGTGAGAATTGGCGCCCAACGATGTCGCCTGTCCCGAAATGCTGAGATGGTGGTGATGATGATGCTCTTGTCCGGTGGCGATGTCGTCAATGGCGATGTGATGAATCCTGGTTAACTGTTGTCGAGTGGCGGCACAAATATCCGGCTCACTGGTTGCTCCTCCCACGTAAGAGTGCTGCTCCTCCCGATCCTCCTGCTCTTCGTTTTGTTCCTCCTCCTCCTCGTCGTCCTCTTCTTCAGCTGGAGAATACTGCTGCTCTTCGGATTCTGCTAGATCGTCCAAAGTCTCTGCCAGATACTGTATCTGCTCTTCCTCGCACTGAGGGCACTGTGGCTCTTCGATTAATTTTCTTGGCTGATACTTTATTGGCTGGGATCTCTGATTCTGACTTATAATGGCCCTCTTAAGCTCCACAAATAGTGGTGATGAGGGTTGCAGTTGCAGTGGTGGAACCACAACAGCCGGTTGTCCCGGCTGATCGAAGAGACTGGATGGTATCTCACCGCCAGCTGGTAGGGGTTGACTTGTTATAACAGCCGCTGCTCCAAGGACACTATGATGATGCCCTGAACCGGCTCCAGCCTCTGGATGTATGCGATTATCCGAGTTGGTCGATGAGAACTTGGAGAGTAGCGATCTTGAGCTGACCTTGTTCTTCAGCTGCTGCTGCTGTAGATAGTAATAGTCGCGCGGCAGGGAGTTCGTGGCATGCAACGGATCCTCCGGATCGTAGTAGCCCAAGGCGGCGGGACGAAACAGGCCAGGAGTACTCAGCGAATGCTGTTGGTTTTGGTTGGATTGCGACTGGGACTGCGATTGCGATTGAGACTGCGATTGCGATTCTTGATCGTATGAATCACTTATAACGCTGGCCGTGGAGGCGGTGGGCGTGGTCGTGCTGCCCAACGTCGACTGCGAACCGGCGGCAGCGGCCGCGGCTGCGGCGGCAGCGGCAAATTGAGCGCCTAGCAATGGCGTCAATCCCGCCAGGAATTGTTCCTGCTGCTGCTGCTGGCGCTGTTCGTCGAGTTCGCGGCGATAAGCTTCGATTTGATCGCTGGGCGATGGGGTATTACTGTGGATGCAGCCCTGAAAGAAATCCAATGCCTCGTACAGGATGAAACACAGGCCCAGGACGAGGAATGTCTCCATCATAAGCAGCAGCTGGTAGCCATTTAAATGTTTGCCGAGCGGAAACGGAACGAAACGGAACGGAACGAAACGGAAACGACTGGGTTAAGGCGAACGTAGAACGTGGCCCAAAAAAAAACGTAACGAAACGGAACGGAAGTGAACGCGCGATACCGATTAAAACTGAACGGAACCCTTTTTTACTCGATTTCAATTTCGTCTCTTGGCTTTCGCTTTATTTTCAACACTTTGGCACTTCATTTTTCCTCATTTGGCTTCTCTTTTGTGTCGGTTTTTTTCTCGGTTTTTTGTTTTTTATTTTTTGTTTTGTCTAGAGGTTGGTCTTTATCCTCGACTGGAAGTGAAATTGAAACCGAAGCGGTTCCTTTGTTATTCAATGCAAATTAATTTCGAATTTGTTTGTCGTTTGTTTTGTCGGTTTTCTTTCGCCTTTTGCGCACTTTTCATTTGCATAAATTAAATACCTAATTTATATATATATTTACATATATATATAATTTTTGATTGATTTAAAGATTTTAGGTGCTTTTAGTTGTATTTTATGAAATAGACAGGCAAACGCACATACATTGACTCATACACATACCAGTACATTTACGTATATATATATATATATATATGTATATATAAATACACAAAATTCATTTAAAGTATATACTACTTGTATAAATAATTATTTACAGCGGATCTGGCAACAGCAGAAAAGCAGATAGTGGACCAAAGTTCTAGCTTAGTTGTTTTCGTTTTTTTTTATGTTTTTTGTGCTTTGTGCGTGTGAGTGAAAAGTTTGCAATGGCTTTTTTGGCATCGGTGTGAGTGTGCTAAAATTTCGAATTCATAAAAGAAACATAAAAGTCGAGACCTCGAGGGAGTGTCAGCTCCATAGAACAACTCGTAAAGCCCTCAAAAATAAATGACACAGATCTACTTTTTAAATCAATGATAAGGGACGACACAAAAAAAGTTAGGAATACTCAAAGGAACAAATAGTTAACCATTCAAAACTCTATCTCTCTCGCTATCCGACTTTTAAGGCTAAGCTTTTGCCTAAAAAATCCGATGAATTATTGAAGATAACCAATGGAACCTGGTCGGACTCCACTCGACTCGGTTCGTTTCTCAATTCAATCGATAAGTTACCCCGAAGAGCCAATTCAAGCTGTCTGGCAACTGAATGTGCATAAGTGTGAGTTATTTCATACTCAAACTCATGTCTTATTCATGGTGAAATTTGAGTTCGGAGTAAGATAAAATATGCTTGTTTATGCATTGAACATGTTGCACTATTTGTGCTAGGATATTGTTGGGCTTTTCCCCAGATCACTCTGTGAAACTGTTTACATTCGAGATTTTGTTGCACTTTTAATGGTCAAAACATCAAACAAATTCGCATGCTTTTTCTTTTGTTTGCCAGTTGCCAGTCGAATGGTTTTTGGACTCCCCGCTGTCATTATTATAACGATTACTATTGGGATTGTCCGAGGACTGTCATGCAGTTGAAATATTTCGCATATTTAATAAACTGACAGCCATGAAAATGGAATTGAATGGGCATAAACTCCAATGTAAACAACTTTATTGGCTAACGCGAAGTGACCGTGCCCATACCCATGCCCTTCTGTGAGGCTAAAGTTTCAATTGAATCTGTTCAATATAACTCCGATGAATATTTACAGGCATTTAACTGACATCAAAGTCATAATAATCATAAAAATCAACGAAAAATGTACGAATAATAATCATAAAAACATTTTCGTGTGGTTTTACACTGCTTCCCCCTTTTTTCCTTTGAGACCGACAGTGGGGCAATGATGCGGAAAAGGGCAAAACAGAAGTCAGGTTCGCAATCTCATTCTATTTTTTTTCCCCTTTTTCTAACCCCCAGTAATACACCGTGACCAATCCCCTATCCGAAAATTCCGGCTGCCCATCAAAATGCACAACGTGTCGTTATTTATGCCCAACCCTGTTCTTAAATCCTCTTTCTAACCACTTGGGCTTAACCCTTAGCATGACAAAGCGGACCTCGGGACCCAAATGGACCCCCAAAGCGGAGGACAAAACACAGGAGAATGCATAAGCCGCGAAACGAATTGAGGCGGCCAAACAGGATATACGAAATAAAGCAGTTTATTTAAGGCATGACACCGAAAAAAATGGCTTTTAACTTTGGGATTTTTTCTTAACCCGGTTCAAACAGCGAATCTTAATAAATCATTAGTTACAAAATTGAAAAGAAAATACAAATTTTTTAATACCAATGTAAGCAATTTAAACACCGTAATCTATGTCACGTTTAATATCAGAAAAAAGCTGCACAAATTAAAAGCTCAACTTTTAACAGTAAAAACTCAGCGTATTCATTAGCTATACGCCCCAATAAATTACGGAAGACGGACAGCTCAAACCGAAAATTCATTCTGCTCAATTTGCTACAAAAAAAAAAACTTTCTCGTCCGATTTGTTTTGATTTCTGATGTCGAGGCACTCTCTAATTAAATTTTTAATGTGTGTCTGTGGGGGTATAAGACAGATGGGGAAAAAGGGAAAAACTTTTCCGGCTGCTGCTGCTGTTGCTATTGCTGCTTGGAAAACTTCAAACAAATTCCAAGTAATTGCACATTGAAATTGACAGGGACAGCAGGATAGAGAAAGAGGGAGAGAAAAGAGTCTGGGAGAGTGGAACGCAGACGGCTGTGAAGGGTAAGACAGAGACGAGGTACAAAACTGCAGTCTATGGGCCAAGTTAACGGCACATTGTTATGCCCACGTTCAACTTTACATGGCCCATAGTCAGTGCAAAGTTAGTCCCCAGCAACAGAAACAACAACATGCTAACGAGGGACATACACAAATATATAGAAAGTGCGAGAGAGATGTCTATTGGGCGAGTGAAAGAGAAGGATGGGGGGAGAGGGTGCTGCCTGAACGAGTGCAGCTTAAAATTGTTATCAACAATTTAATCATTGAAAACCATTAAAAAGCTAACAACAAGAAACTTTCCCTTCTCCCCGTTTTTCCGTGATTTTTCCAACAGTTTTTCCTCAATTTTTCCCCTTTTTTTTGTTGCTTTAATTGCTGTACACAATGCAGCTGTGATTATGGTCACCAGAAGTGGGGAAGCGAGACAGCAGATGCGCAAGAAAGAGAGAAACGCAGGAGAGAGGGACACGAGATCCATTAATTTCATTTCGCTATTTTTCTCAAACGTTTTTTTTTTGCGTTTTGTCTTTGTTTTTATTTTTTCTTTTTATAAAATTAAATTCCACAGTTGGTGCAATTTCTCCTACGTGGCCTTTAATTAGAAAAGGCTGGCAGAGGGATGCCATTACATCTGCGTCAGTCATTTGTTTTCGTCACACACGAGTTCATGTCATGGTCAACACATGCGAAGACAACAAACAAAATGAAAATGCGGAAAAGCACACAATTGAAGAAAGACGCATTCCAAGTTCTCTAGGCGCATGACAACAATTTCAAGTAATTTAAGCTGTTCTACTACCTTTACGTTAAATTTGTCATGTGTATTGTCTTTAACTTTTGTAAGCAATGCATTTTCCAAAATTACAGATAGCTCCCAACATCTACAGTTTTCCAAACCTAGTGTGCTCTTTTTTCTTCTTCTTTATTTTATATAAATTCCCCAGCCGTGGAGATTATTGTAGAGCCTGCCTGTGGACACTCTGCATTGAAGGTTATATATTTCAACGGCAACTGTCACGCTGCTGGAATTCAGCTACAGCATTTTTCTTGGATGCTGTTGTCGTTGTTGGCTGTTGGAGGCACTTCATTGTGCGGCCAAAAGGGGGAGGAGGTGGGGCAAATTGTTGTTGTAGCAGTGGTGGCAGGAATACAGGGGTCGGCAAAGGGCTGGCAGCAAAAGTAAACCAACATAAGTGTTGCGTCGTTCGTTCGCTTTATTGTTGTGTGTTGTGGAAACCGGATGCAGCACATGGACCGAGACTCGGACCTCAGCAGGTCATGTTAACTAACCTCCTTTTGGAACCCCTGACCCAACCAAGCCACCCAACCTCCCAACCATCCAACCATCCGACCATCCAACCATCCAACCATCCAACCAACGAACGAACCAGTCGACCCCTGCACCTTCTGCTGCTGCTGTAGCATCCCTCTCAGTTTTGTCCTTGTGCCGCCTGCCTGTGCAACATAAATTTTTAAAACGCTTGCCACTGCGGCTTGTCAACTGCAGCAACCTTGCCCTTGTTGCTTGCCACGCCCTCCAAAGCGACCACCGCCCCCAAAGGGCCAGCAATTGTGACAATTTTAAAACAATTACACACAACAAACTCAATGAGCAGCACAAAAACGAACATAAATTGACCAACCGTACAGAGAAACAGAACACTAGTTCCAGTGGCCGAGTTAACAATTTGTGCAATCCGCATTCACGAGCTGACCGCAAAAACCAACGGAAACATGAGATCATTATGCCACGCACTTCGCGGTCAACATCACGAGTACATATCCAGCATATCTCTGATGAATTTGGTTTGCTTTTGGAATGGTTTGCGTCGAGTGTCAATTCACTCAATCAAATTAACTGGCAATGGTAAATCAATTCGGGAGTGTCATTAATAAAGATCATGTCGTAACATTGAGTTGCATTAAATAATCAACGCAACTGCCACAGCAATTTAAGACTCATTTTAAATGTAATGATATGGGGTATCTTAACTATTAAATAAATGCTGTAAGAAGAGTTGTGTTTTCAGTTTCAACATATGTACAACATACAGTGCATTGCTGTTGGCATTCTCGTATATCAAAGAGAAATGCTGAATACATATATTTTAGAAATATCACATGTGACAAGCTCTGCTGATCTTTAATCATGAGAATCCCCAAAGAGGCGCACCGTCGAAAAACCATCCGAAAACCACTTCCATTCCAGCACTTCTCGTGCCATCTGCATATCCGTGGTGCAAAACTTTTGAAGTTTGTTTTCGTTCAATTTGCTGAGCAAACAACTGAACCATTAAGAACATCTTCAGCGGCAGACGAGCGAGTTCATCTGGAAGTGGAAGTGGATGTGGATGTGGAAGTGGAAGTAGAAGCCCGCGGCTGACGAGGATTTGCAGACTGTGGTCGTTGTGGCGGGACTTGCAAAATAATTAACCAAAAATTAAAGCGATTGCAAGCGGCAAACTTTAAGTTCAACGAATTTCTACATGCATGCTGCACTTAACCAACTCTTTTGTGTACCATCATATAATATCCTTTTGCATTCAAATTCCTTTCCATGATATTTTTAATATGCAAAGTATGCATATATGGATTTTATTTTATTTCCCATCGCCCCGGCACATGATGTTTGCTTTCAGTTTCGCATCGAAGAATGCCTTTTGTGGCTGTCTGAACCCCTTGTATTCTTCGAACTCTTCGTACTCTCCGTTCTCGGTATTCCTTTTTTTCTCCTTTTTTTTTTGCCTTCAGATGGTCATTAAAAATATGAAATTTTATGGGGGTACACACACACACACACACCGGGCACACCACTCAATGGAACACTTAAATGAATTACAGTTCTCAGCTGGGTTTTTGCATATTCCTCTTTTTTTATATTTTGTTCATCGAAATCTGTTCGAATTGAATGGCTGGCTGGATGGCCGGGTAAAAAGAAGATGGCAGGACGAAACAGATTGGAATATGTTTTTGCCCGATTCATGGGCGCCTATAATCCCAGGGAGAGACAAACTGACATTGGACCTTGGCACTCTTCGTTTGCATTCTCCTTTTCACTGCCATTTTGCTGGAAATGTGGCCTTTTACTGGCCGCCCCCCTGAAAAAATCCCTTTAATTTTTATGCTTTCAAACATAATTGTTTTCACCAGTCTGATTTTATCGCAGTATTCTGTTTGAATACGATTTTATCATATTTGTACAAGACGATAATATTAACATTATATAAAAGCAATATATCGTTGATATTTTTTCGAAGAAATAATAGTTAGAAGCAATCCAATTACCAATTTTCCCTTCCAATTGTCAGCAGACAAACCTATCGATGATAAGCACCGGGATATCCCATTGGGTATCTGACACAAAACAACAATAATGGAATAAATTTGAACTCCCACATGGCCACGCCCCCTTACAGACACACTAACACGCTCACAGTGACACACGTACACGTACGCGTATACGTACACGTAACACGCACATACAGACACACACAAACTCCATTCAATGTCAGATGGCTAGGATGTTGGCTGCATTATTTGACGGCCATTGAAAAAGTTTGCCACAAATGAAATGGCCCAAAGGAGCTGTCAAATCCGCTGCGTTATAACATTTACTATGGGTCTGCTGGGGCGTAGAAGAAGGGGGTCACAAGGGTTAAGGGTGAAAGGGCGGCCCGACAAAGCGACAAGTAAAAGTTGCACAAAAATTGACAAAACATAAATAAAATATGGCGCAAACAATAAGGAAGATTTTCGGATGGCTTTTGGGGTTGGAGAGAAAAAGACATGTGACACAAACAGATGCCAGGTGGAAATTTTTGGGTGCATAGAGGAGTGGGAATCCAGTCACAGTAACGTTAATATCACCCGATAAGTATTGACACAAGTGGTGGAGTGGAAGAGTGCCGACAAACAAACAAACAAACAAACGAAATGATGAAAGAACGCCTGGCGGCAGGGTTGCCATCGTTAGCATCGAGCAAGCCAACTGCCAGAGTTGCCATCGTTATATATATCCAATTGCCATTTTACAATGATGACGTAATTGATTTTTAAGCAAATACAAATACACTTTGTCAGAGAAAAGAGAAAAGGGCAGAGTGGGGAAAAAGAGCGGAATAAGAAAAGATTTCCAAATAAATAAAGCGAAACGTGCAAACATCGATGACGACGAGTGCTTGTTGAAAACCTTAGCCTAGAACCGCTCACAAAAAAGGGGAAAAACGGAGAGTAAGCCCCCGAGTATATCAAGTAAAAAGCAAAGAAAGAAAACGAAGCTGTGGATTGCGATGCTCCATCTGCAAGAGGAGCTACAAGCTCCAAGAAACGTGCCACGAATGCAGGTGAAGCTCAGGTGTACGTGTGTGTTTGTGTGTGTGTGTGCGTGTGTGTGTGTGCAGCCACTTTTGAGTGCTTGCACAACGGGCACGACTTTTCTTTATTTACACTTGCTTCTTACATCAACATACACACTTACTCACTCGCAAAAGAGAAAAACCGAAAAAGGCGAAAATTTACACTTGAAAAATTACCCGTACAGAATTTCAGTATATTTTATTGAGTATTTTTCCAACGACTACAATTATTTTTATGGATATTTAAATACATTAAAATCAATTTCCAAGTACCATTTATTATAAAAGCCCAACACTTTAGTTTCAACTTCCAAAGAGAAAACCTTTGTAACTGACACATTAAAACCTTTTTGTCAGAGTGAGTGAAAAGCCAAAGTCCTGACACAATCGAGTGCAATAAAGAGAGAGAGTGGAACTTACCCCGTGAGTCCACCTCTTTATAAAGTGTCCTACCCCAACCATAATCCAAACACCTTCCAACGAAAAAGAAGAAATTTTCTGGAACGGTTTCAGGGGTCAAGCCAGAGTCCCAAAAAATCAAAGAGAAGAGGGTCATTGGGAGCTAATTTGTAGTCTTAAGCATGGATAGAATCCAATGCTTCGCTTCAACACATTTGGTAAGATTTTTCCAATGAAATAAATGTTAATATATATTTCAGCTGTCTAGGGGTCTAATCAAACGATTAAAAGTTAATTGAATACTTATTTATTATTGCCACGCCATTGCCAAACATGTGTGTAATTGAATATTGAACATTTAAAGCCAAAAAGCTTAGGCCAACAACTTCTGCCTTGAAGCTGTGCTCGTGCATAACATGCTCTATATATTTCTATATATATTTTAATATATATATGCATTTATACATATATATATATATATACGTGAGTGTTTTGTGTACGTGTATGTGCTCTGGTGCAAAAGCTTAGATTAGTCATTTGCATCTTTCACAACCAAATACCCCCCAGTCTATTGCCCCTCATTTAAGAACATAATCCACTTGCAAAATGGACTCCATTGATTGGAGCAGCAGCGACAATAGCAACAATAACCCCACAGCAACAGGAACGGCCTTAAAACAACAACAACAGCAACACCAGCTAAATCAACAACAATAATATCTATCCATAAACAATTAGTCGAACAAAAGGTTTTGCAGTCTCGAGGTATTGAATGAGTTAAATTCGCTTGGGTGCTCAATCAAAATTATTGCAGCCATAAATGGCGTTTGCAATAGTGATTATGATTCCGGGTTAAAGTCTAAAAGCCCATTCAATTGGACAAACCCGATTCAATTATGTTCACCAGTTCTATTCAATTCGATGATGAGCCGTCTTATGTGTCTCTACTTAAATTATAATCAGAACCAAGGCACACAAACGCATTTAGATTGACTTTCGGCGTTGTAAGGTTAAAGATAAATAGGCAATGATGAAATATTTTTCCACTCGAAAAATAATGAAAACCTTTTTGTTGATGATATAATAATATTTAAACCTTTAAAAAGTATAAAATTTATATAATATATTAATAATAATAATTGTTTGTATAATATTTGAAATTAAAATAAAATTCCGAATTTAAATAAAATAAAATATTATCAGCATTTAAAAAAATAATTAGAAAAAAATTCTAAAAAGGAAAAATGGTACATGTGTAGTACTTCCAACGCCCCAAAGAAAACTCGAAAAGATGCGGAAGAACGAAAAGAAGAGCCTATTTAATGATTTCTTATCGATGATGAAACTGAACATGAAGACAATGATTGTGATGATGATTTCGTTGACACACACACACACAAATACAAAACTCTGGCACACACACTGGTTGTTGTTGTTGTTGCTCTTGGTGTTTATGTGTTTGTTTTTATTGCAATTGTTATCGCTCTGCTTCTTGTTCATATTCCCCAATCCCAATTCCCGGACTTTTCCTTTAGCTCATTTCGCTGCTCTTCCTTTTTTTTTGTTTGTAATATATTTTATTGTTGTTTTTATGCTTCAGCAGACACACGCACACACACAAGCAAAGAAAACAGCAAATAAATACACGCACGCATACATCTTTCATTTATTAGCATTTGTTTACATTTTTCTTATTCATGTATATAAATTTTGTATCATGATTTTCACTTGGCACACGGCAAAGAACAATAAAAAAAATATTTAAAAAAATTTCAAGCGATGCGAATAAAAAATATTCATATTATATCTGATTGGCTTCTTTTTGTAGCACACTTTTTGGGCGCGCGTTAACAAAGTCGTCGGCGTTTTGTTCTGGTTATGTTTTTAATAATTTATATCTTGCCGAATTTTCATATATATATACATTTTGAAATTTATTCAAGTTTCTTATAGTTTATAACTTTGTATTTTTTATTTTTCATTGGTTCTTTTGTAAGACTACCTAAGTGTATCTAACTCCTTTCGCCTCTTTTCCGCATTTGCCGCTTGTTTTGCTCGTCTTTATTTCTCTTTAATTGTTATTTTTATTACTTTATCATTGCCAAAAATTTGTTTTATTTTTAATTTTTATTCGTTGATTTTGAGTTATTCTTCGTTATCTTTATTGTTGTTTTTTGGTTGGGTGTTTGTTTTTTTGTTGTTTGTTTTTTTTGTTCTGTTAACCGTGCTCGACGACCGCTTTACGCCCGTATAGAAAACAGACTGCGGCGGCCAGTAGCGAGATTTATCCCATGAAGATAAGTGCTGCAGACGAACGTTCGTTTTGCCGAGGAGAAACGAACACGCACACTCACGCACAAATAACACTCACACACATACACACACACACACACATGAATGTACGGAGAGATGGCGGGCAACATTGTGTTGTTGTGCTTTCTGTTCCATTTTCTTTTTTTTGCAAACAGTCAGCATCCGCCTTGTGTGCCTGTGTGAGTCTACGTGTGTGTGTGCTAGTGCGTGTATGCTTGTGTGCACTAATACCAATGTCGAGAGTAAAGCCGAATGGCATTTGCATCGGAAAATCTCTTCTTCGGCATTTCATCTCTTGCTCTCGCCCTCTCTATGCTTTCCCTCGTTTCTTTGCATTGATGTGGTGAAAAAGGAAAAGCTTTGGTGTTTTGATTAGGTGAAAATCGCTGGAAAATCGCGATAGACTAAGCGTTGCGATCATGTTTAGCCGGCTTAAGAGCTCTTTTGTGAATTCCCAAGACATGTAGAACGTTGTTTTGAACAAAGAAACCAACAAATTGTATATATGTACATTTCTAGTTTTGTCAAATACATTGTCTATGCCTATCAAATATTTTATTTTAAGTGGCTAGATTACGCATACATTTTAACACCCAGCATTAGAAAATATTATTAAAATATTGATTTGGCTTTTATTTTCAATTCCCCAGCTACTACTTTAGATTCTAAAGTTTAGAACCATACAAAAAAATAATCAAATAAGCCGAAAACAAAACAAACCCCTCGCCCTACCTTTAAGCAATCGTTCTCTTCGCCCATCACGCTCTCTTAATTCGGTCTCTTAATGGTTTTTGGTATGGTGGGTTCGTATTTACCTTGTATGAGAGTGAAAAGCTCCACCTAAAGCTATGCTTTTCGTCGATTTCCATACATTTTCAGGAGATGGACTGCAACAGTTACAACAGTTGAGCGCAAATTGAGAAAAAGAGATTCACCTAATGATGGCAGACTAATGGGTGGTTGGGTGGGTTTAATGGGTATTTCGAGTGGCAGTCATTAAGCACAAATAAGATGCTGTGCGTGTCTCTCTGTGTGTGTGTTGGTGTGTGTGTGTCGGTGTGCGTGAGACACTGCTCTGGACACACAGCTAATTCGAACGAAATTAGGCAAACATTTAATGAAGCAATTAGCGAAATGCCCTTTTGCTCAGTTATATCCCTAAGTTTGCCAAACTTCTGGCACTTCCGATGCACGAACTTACCACAAAAAATTATATAGTTCCCGAAAAAAAAATTGGTTTAAGGTACCCTTACACATATTCATAGATTTCCCCGGGTGAAGAAACCGCATGGAACATCAAAGAGGATTTCACTTTTGCACATCAATGTGTTCTTTTTCTGGCCAAAGAAAATTACGTTTACTCACCTGAAAAGAAACAGAGAGGGAAAAAACGTTAGATGGGTCGCAAAAAGTTTCCTTATTTTACACATATACTTGTGCTGAAATATATATGTATAAAACGTTTTACTTATATTTTCCCCTTTTTTTTTTTTTGCAGACAAGACCTTTGCCCACTTACAATTCAAAAGGTGAAAAAGAGTGGAAAAGTGAAAGCAACTTTGACATGAGTAAAGTGCAAAATTCTGTTGCATACATTTTGGGCCTCGAGTGTTGGAAATTTGCAGCAAATTGTTTTCGGCAAAAAGTAAGTGAATCTCACTACTGAAACATAATCCTTGAGGTTAAGCAGTAAGTATTTGAAATACAATTTATTTTTCTTTATTTCTTTGGAAATGATACGTACATTCTTCTCCTGAAAAACACTCTCTTTTTACTCACCTCAGCTTTAATTTAAGTTGCAATTTAACTGACATATGTGCGCTCCGTGTTGAATCATTATCCGCAAAAATATAAACCGATAACAATTGAAAACTCTGGTGCAACGTAAATTGAAGCCAAATCAAAAACGATTCGGTTTTTCTTGGCATTTGCCATTGTGTTGGCAATTGTGTTGTCTGGAATTGGCCATTTTATTGAATCTTTTGTTGCGGCCAACATGCACACGGCACAAAACTACCTGGGAAATTGTGGGGGCCCAAATTGGTGGTTTGGTGGGGGGTAAATTGCCACGGAAGAGGACTAAAGTTAGATTGATGATGTCTCAATAAACCCCATTAGGGGATTGCCATCGAGACCGACGACGACTGCAATATAATATCACAAATGAATTGACCGCCCTTCTGGCACTGGGTTTGAGTTTGCGTTCGAGTTCGAGTTTGAGCTTGAGTTGGGTAGTTATATGGGTGGTTTGGCTTATGGGTGGTATTTTGATGATTGTGCACCTGCTGTTGGCACAATTCAATGCTCTAATTGGTAGCAAAGTGGAATAAACTATTGCCCAGACGAAACTTTTCTCGTTTCTCTTGGATGTCAGTTCTCGATTCCCACTTCTCGGCTTCACGGCTTCTGCCTCTTAGATCCTTTTGATGTTCGCAGGAGGACACGTTGGCCTTCAAGAAAATGAATCACGAGCCAACTAACTGTAAAAATTCATTATGTTCCTCTGAGCAGCAGTAAGCAAAAAAAAAAAGCCCAAAGGAAAATGTCTGGCGACAAAAAGTTTGTGTGACTAGAATTGAAATTCCGGTTGACTCTTCTGGCCGACTGACAAAATGCTTGAAGAATCCGAATACAGATAAAGATACAAGATACGAAGGTATTTTCATCATCATCTTGTCGACGTTCCTCAGTCAAGTGTTGAAATCGATTAAATACAAGTTTATTGCTAAATTTTCCTAACTGGCTAAGCTCAAACTTTGCTGTTAGTTCTTTTTTTTTGTTCAGGTTGCATATTTCAGTGCCCTAATCCGCCCGCAGCAGCAAACTGAACGTGGGATAGGCGGGTAAAACTTAAAAAACAATTATAAACTTTTCCCTCTCGTGCCGCCGTACTTTATATACATATATATGTATGTATATATATTGGCAACTATCTGAGCAGGGGTATCAATCCGCTGGCTCATAATTCCCATCTACAGACCGAACTCTGGCTCATAATTGGCCCTGCGATAGCTTGAAAGTTGAAAACAAATTGAAATGCTCAAAGATTCTGTACCGATTTGGCCAACAAATTTGTGTGGTCGCTTGCAGAAGAAGACTTGATTTTTGGGAGGGCAAATAGGTAAATTTTAGTTGAAACTAGTTTTCAAATGGTTCATTGAAAACAACAAAAAGGCCAAGCAAAATGAGTTAAATAGGAAATGTGTCGACTGCATACCATTTACAACCTTTATTGGAGTGATTTTAATAAGGGCCACTTTTATATATATTTACATGGAACATGGATCTAATTTATAAGAAAAAGAGAGGAGTTTGAAAGAATACGAAATTTAAATTAATTTTACACAAGATCTGGACTTTTCCTTTCATATTTAATTTTTTGTTCCGTTTGTCGAACGCGTGAAGCGCACTTGAAATTAATGAAAAGCATTTTCGATTGTAATTATGTATTCGTGACTGGAGGGGCCATGAAGCATTTCCTCCGCATTTCACATTTCTCGATATTCAACCCACCCAACCCAACACTCGTTGGCACTTGTTTATTTCCCTGAGTTTCCCTGTTGCTTCAGATTTTGGCTCAGCTCATTAAGCATAATTCGAGTCTTTGCTCCATTTCTCCCCCTCTCTTTCTCCTTATCTCTCTCCCTCTTTCTCAGACTCTAGCCCTGTCTCTTTTGCCTCAATATCCCCAATATAATACGGATGAGTTTATGGCGGGTTTCTTGGGGGTCCGCATTTAATTGACTGTAAATTTGCTGCTCTTCAAACGCTTCAACTACTCATTAAAATAAAACTCAAAGAATTCAACGAGCTTCTGGGCAAATAAGAGGGATAGAGGAATGGGAAGCTGGTTAGAAGCAGATAGATTAATTTTGGAACCGGATTTATGGCATCTATGTGTTTTACATAACAAAATTTTCTAAAGTCCGACCAAAGTTGTGATCTATGTGTTAGCGGTTTAAGCTCTTTTCTGTTTCCTGTTCGACGAATAGCATATTACGCATACGCCCGGCATGCCTTTGATATACAAGTTGTTTTGTTAATTGCACCAGCAAGCTGGGATGCCACAATCACAGGCATCTCGTTTCTATTTTTATTTTTTTTTTGTTTAGATATGGCTTAAAAACTGCACCCACATGAGCTGGGTGCCCATTATCTGCATTTTTACGGTCCAAATCCATTTCCAGCACACACATTTCATGGGAGGGTGAGGAATTTGGTTGCCTTGGCTTTAGTTTTGTAGTTGGATGGGGTGAAAGAGAAATGGCAGGCAGCTGTAATAACATAATGTCCAACGAAATGTCTGGGCCTTAAAAGCAAAGGTAAGCCCAGCCTTGTATCTTTGTCGTTCTGTTTGTGCGTGTGTGTGTGCGCCACCTCACTTCTGCCTTCTTTTCTATACACCGAAAGAATAAATAGTTTGAACTTTTAATTCAATTTAAAAACGTATAAAAATGTATACATTAGTATGAGAAAAAAGATACACACGTTTAATGCAAATATTTTTGGAAAACTACCTAGCAGATTATCTTTTAAATCTTATTTCCTAAGTGCACACATGTGTGTGCGATTTCAACAAACGTAAAAGCTAGAAAAACGAAAAAAAAAAATATACCTATATATGTATATATACCTAGCAAAAGAACAAGGCAAAGATGTGGAAAAGAGAAGAATTAACAGCAAAACGCAACAAACAAAGATGCGAAAGGGACGGAAGGACGGAGCGAAAGAGATAGGTAGAATTTGAGATGGCAAACAAAAGTTGCTTGGCAGTAGCATAAATAAATAGAGATAATTAGACCATAACGACAACAAACACAATACAAAAGACCCAAACAAATGCAAGCACAAAAAGAAAGAGGGCCGTACAGAGGAGGGGAAAGAGACGGAAACTGGCGGCGGAGAGAAAGAGACAGCTCTAATGGGACCTTCACGTGCGTCCTGCCTTTATATTTTTTGCGGTTTTAATTGTATGGCTGCACATTTTTGCGACCACAGCCACAGGAGCAGCAGAGCATCCGAAAAAGTTGACCACACAAAAAATGTTGGCAAAAATAAAAGGTAGCCGACACTAAGTTGACCATAATCTAGTTTTCATGAAGCACAGCAGCCAGCAACCAGCAGCCAAATTAGGTGAAGGATATGACAGAGACCAACAAAATGTTTGTGACGACCATCAGCGAGAGAGCAGTGTCCCAAAATATGTAAATAAATTGGGCGAAAAAAAAGGTGCGTTTTTTACCTTAATAATTGTGAATACAGAGAATACACAACGGAATATTTAATGTCCTGCTGGCAAAAAGCCAATTTTATCTCATTTACCTTTGGTTACCTCTTTCTGTTTTCTTATTTCCGTTGATTTCTAATTGAATTTAAACTCCTCGGTAAACCGCATTTTACATGCTAAAGTTTTTCAAGTTTTGTACATCCTAATAAGCCAAAGTAATTGGAGGTTGCACTATTACCTTATTCACTACTTGGCTGCTTTTTCGGTCAAAACTTTTAATTCGGTGGCCTGAAATAGCAACTAAAACGGGTGAAAAAGGATGCGCCAAAGAAATTTACCAACAAATGGGCGGAAAAATAAATCCCACACCATCTTCATTTTCAACCCACAAGCCAACCTCATTTTCCCCATTAACATGCAAATCTCAGTGGCAAAAATTAGTGAATGCGGAATTCGACGAAGGACACGAAATGTGGCTGGCATTTCAGAGCCTGCAACCGAAACTGAAACTGAATCTGTTTCTTTCCACGTATATCTCTACATATATATATAAATACATATATATGTACATATATATGATTCGCTCTATCTTTCTCGCACATACCCGTCGCTTTCGCTTGAACTATATTCCTCTCTATCGCTTAGTTAGTGTCTCAGTGTCGATTTGAATTTGAATTGGAATGTGGCATTGGAATGAAAATCTGTTTATTTGCAGCGACACGTGACCGCTGCTTGCCACTCAATCAAGTTGAACTCTGAAGCGATTTCGGTTCTGTAATATCCTTTCGTCGTTGTTACCAATGCAGAGAGAAAAATGTCCAGCAATATAAGTTGCATCATAAGTTTGAAAACATATTTGTTGCTTGGACAAGTTAATTTGTAACTTTTCATCTAAGTCAAAATAAATATATAAAAGTGTAACAATTCAATTGACAAGGCCACAAAAAAATTTAATTTTCATTATTTGTTAATATTTTCTAGCGGTGAACTCGGGTTGCCATCAATCAATGGGTTAAAGTTTTTGGCTTTGGCTTTTTGCATTCGCATTCGGTTTCGGTCAAGTCCTATCAGCCTGGGCACCCTTCAATCAATTACCTAATCTCATTACAACTTAATAGAGCATGACTAACGCATACCA